TCGCCGGAAATACCCTTCCGCGTTCTGCTATTGCTCCCATGAGGATTCCGGCTGTTACACATGCGAACTCCATCTGATAAAAACTGTATAGCAGTTCAGGGATAAGAGGCGATCCCGGAGAGGGTTCGCCCAGGACGTTGCGCAGGCCGAAATTCTTCAGGTTACCGATGAACCCATTGGTGGCTGTCGTTGAGAAGGCCAGGGAGTAGCCCCAGAAAAACCACTGGAATATTACAACTGAACCTGCGCAAGAAACAGCCCAGATCAACGATAGGGCAGATTTTCGTCTGGCCAGTCCAGAGTACAAAAATGCTGAATCCAGGGTATTAAATATGATTTTCTCGCCAGATTGGGGAAACAACAGAACCCACCGAGACCAGGGATCATGAACGACACCTGGCAGTCGCGGTGAATAACAAGTATAAATACAGAAATACAAATCCTACCATTGCCCCCGCGATTATGATAAAGGCTATGTCCCCTCGGTCAAACCTGACAGATAAGGTTGTCAAAATCTAGGCCACCCTACGCCTCCTGATTAGTTGAAGGCTGCTCACTGGCTGGCATCCCCTGCTCGTGTGACAAAAAAGGATAATCAGTAAGCTTATGTTCAACATTATTGAGTGCGAACTCACGACGTAACACACTCGAAGCTTGCAATGCGTGTTCGACACGGTTACTGATGACTTCTGGTGACGAATGCATAGCCTGATTGCGTAAATTGGCGCCGTTGGACCAAGCGAATTGTGAGAGGAGCAACTTGAACTATCAATCGACTTAAAAGCCACTAGAAGCTGATGCTGACGAAATTCAAACAGACCTTGTTTTGCCGCTTCATGCCTTTTCATTGGACGATAAGACCCTCACCACATTCAATGTAGAAAATTTCGTTTATTGCTTCTACGGCATTGTCGGAAAGTGATCATATTATCACCTGCCTGGCTTCGGATACCTCTCGGACCTAACACTTCGGCTTGTAGAGTGATGCCTGGGTGATGCCAAGCATGAGTTGTGCCACTGAAAGACGAGTAGGCAGGAGACTAAGTATGGCTGCAATGGCCCATTCAAGTGAAAAGGGTGTCGTAACGCCATTCGGATTGCCGTAAACGATTCAATGCTGGCTCTGTATACCTTTGCGCCTTTGTCTAGTTTCATATAATTCTCTGTGCCCTTGTACCTTCCTCCGCAGTTTCTGGAGCGTCTGCAGCTGAGGAATCACCACCTGCACAGTCTACCTCGGCAATGAGTCGGAAAGACTCGGAACACGGCAGTGACAGCTAATACCTTTACACCAATCTCGCAACTGTCCTTGTCACCATTGACAACAATATCAATCGCTAATGAATTGTAGGTGGATATGGATATGTCACAAGGAGCGTTAAGAATGAGCGCGTCGGCATGCTGCGGAGTCAAATTTGATATTCAATGGTCGATTAGCACTTAGGAATGGCGAGACCTCACACGACATTGGATAACAGCAAGGGCACGCTCCATTAACAAAAGGAACGGAGGATCTCCTGCGACGTCTCGGATAGTCTAATGTCGCGAGTTAGTCGGTATGCGTTTGTACAATGCAGTCATACATTAGCACACCTTGTCCGACCATAACCCCACCGCAAGCATAACGCGGCCATTCACTCGTACAGCGGCTTTCGATCGTCGCAAATATTCAACGTGTCCAGCGCTAAAACAATCCCAGCTGCCTCCAACGTACACCACCTTCGTGTCTCCGTGCCTAGGGAATTCAAAGCGTCCAGGAGAATCAAGATCGATGATTGCAGGAGGTGGAAAGATCGACCCAGCGAACACATCCAGAAGGTTTCGGAGTGGTCCTTGGTCCGGCAGGGGCAAGCCAGGTTCAAGGATGCGCTGAATGAGTGACGTTGTCGAAATGCCTTCCCTGATATGTGTATGGTCGACAATGGGATTGCAACGCCAGGCATCAAACTCACGTTCGCTTGAACTCTTTGTATTTGCCGTGAGATTTGACCTCTGCGAGACAATCGTGGCCTGTCGCATCCTATGAGTGAAATATCACTTAGGTACGTAAAATATCGAACTTGAAAGACTACGCACCATAGCAATATCGTCGCCGTGGACGACAAAGTCTACATGATCGTGAGTACTTTTCTTGCGTGCTGTGGGCCATACTTACCAATACAGTATTTGTCTAGGATATCCATTTGTGCGCTATATGGTACGTCGTATACCACCTCGTCAACCCATCGACAGCCCTCCACCAGAGCATATCTAAGTTTGCAACGTTAGCGATCAAAGAGGAAAGATTGAAAGCGAGTGCACCTTTCTGATTCATCGAATAACGGTGGCCCTTTGTTCCTGAGAGCATCTACGGTTCAGCATAGAGCTGCGGATCAGGTAAAAACAGACCTAGCTATCTCCTCATCCGAATGCACGCCAACAACGACATGTGCTGGTCCTGGAACCATGGTTAAGGCCCGGCGAATGGCATTGGCATGGGCATACTTATTCATAAAGGGGCTTAAATAAGCGTGATTGTTACTGGCTAGAAGAGGAAGAGACGGACATACATGGAATGCGTCAAAACAGCCGTCGAGCCTGTAGAGTAAAATCCGCTCTTGTCAGTGGCAAGTTCAAGAGGCACTCAGATATTTTCAGGACCACAGTTTCGTTGCATTGAAGCTGGCCATGCTGCCGTAGCTTGTGTACTTAAGGGTCGGCGACAATGAAAATTTTCCACATGTGATCGTTTCACGATCACGTGCTCTGCCAGCGTCTACCAAATTAGGGCAACTTATACCGGAACAAAGCCACCTTCTGCTTCATTTGGTCAGAACCTAACCCAAACCAGTCCAGTAGCCATAGAAATAAAAATAACATGCAAAGAATATATTATATATTGCACAAAATTTCACAAGTGAACAACCTGCAGCTTATGGGTTACAGTCTTGGACCAGTCCTTGACACAAACTGTTCATGTTCAATCAGTTCATGACCATTCATCTTCAGAATATTTTTTTGACATGGTGTACATAATATCTACATTGTATTAAATTTATAACACAATTTCTGCCCTATGGCTACTTGTGAATTTCATTCTTTACATACTTGACCGCCATTTTGGGAAATTCAACTTTCCCACAGCCTATATTACAGTGTATTGTCCACAATCCACTTAGAGTTGGATAGCACACATATTCCACATGACATAAGCAACAAATTTTCTTTTTAGCCTGAGTGATTTGGCTCAGAATTGACTGAGAACAAGGCAGTTGGAGATGTGGAGACTTCTTAGGTAAGACCAAAATGGGAATACTTGACCCTTGAAAGGCAATGTGGCCAAAGAGCTAGTGAACCAGGAAAATGAGAAGGAGTCTGAGGGAGATGCCAGTGGTACTGATGATGGTGAATTTAGTGGTTAGAACTCCAGAATCAATTGTTTCCTTTGGTTTTTATGCTCTTTAGGCTTATTTTTGCTATTTTCTGCATGTATACAAATGTAATTTCAATATTTTAGTGTGTAAACATTTAGATATGATGTATGCAAGTGTTGAAAATTTTTATTCAATGCTCAATGACGCTTGTGGAAGGTCAAACAATGGAGAAACCTGAAATTGTGGCTGAAAATTGATGCTTGTGTCAAGGAGCCGGAAATGGCAATTTTGGACTTGCTCAAAAGAACAGTGTGCTGCATTGCTCACACATGAGATTAATTCTTCAAAAAATCACTGTTAGTATTTAAACTATATCTAGCTTGATTTTACAACAAAAAGTTTGGTAGAATTTACTTCAGAATCAATTGAGAGACAAGATATGAAATGTTGTGTCAAGGACCAGTCCAAGACTGTACCACACTCTTGAAATTGCTGTAACATTCAAATTTCAGGACACTGAGGTATGATCACTGTCAAGGCTCTGGCAATTCTTGTTGATAAAATTGAGCAGCCAAAAGCTGATTATAAGCACTGCATATTTTATATTTCATACATACAATTGAGATAGAACATAATCGGTGGTCACACACATACTGTACCAAACTCTTTGGTCACAGGTCACAACAAGGTCACAATGGAAATTGAAGAGATGGATGAAAAATTTTGGTGCCTGCAGCCCACCATTTATTGGCTCCTTAAAAATCTGCTAAAGAGATGTCCAGGATGTCACACCTTGTCTCAGGCACCAAAGAGATGCCCATCTCTTTGTGGCAGTCACACTCTGTAAAAATGAAAATTCATGTCAAAGTCAACTTTAGTCAAGTTGCACTTTTCAGTTAACTTCCAGTTGATATTCACTTGACCATCTCCTGACAGTGCCATTGCCATAAACAGTGTTGCCACGGTCATGACCAATGTTTTTCAAAAAAATGAGAGGATTGGAGTCCAAATGTATAGTAACATTGCAATCAGTGAAACCTATCAACAATCAAAAATAATCAAAACATCGGAACATTGATAAGTGCAAAGATAAATAAAGACTGGAAAAGGTTGGACAAGGTCAGAAACACATCTAATAGGTATACTATAGTATGGGAAACACATAGGCAGTCCTTTAATGTAGCAATAAGTCAGATATAAGCAAGGAAACATTGAAAAAGGTTGAAATGGGTTGTATGAGGTCAGAAATGATCAGAATGACATCACATAACTTGCTAGGGGTTCAAAACACATCTTACTATGGTCTCTAGGCTGTCCATTGTGTCCAAAGATCATCCAGATATCACAAATCATTGAAAATGGCCAAATACATGCTCAGAGTGGTAGCATGCATATCAATGGTCTGCATGTTCGCTGATAAATGCAATAATAATTTCCCCTTGGCATCAGTATAGCCTTGTGTGTATAATAAAAGGCCAAACATCTAATCTAGGTGAGAAATGTGTTACAATGTGCTCTCATAACAAATAACAAGTTACTAACATAAGACCAGCTCATTAGAGGATTCTTTGCTGGCATTGTCTATTGGAGTACAAGGCAAATCCTGGACCTTGGCAGAAACAGCACAGCAATGACTTAGAAATCCAAGGACTGGTATCTCAGTGGTTAGAGCATCACACTGGAGTGATGGGGTTCTGGGTCCAATCCCCAGCCAGTTCATCACTTTTTTTACATTTAGGTGATACCAGTGAGGGATCCTATAAATTCCTACATTGTCCCCATTTTTGAGGTGGTTCTCCTGCACACTATAGTATACCATCTCATGATGCATGGCATTTGAAATGACCTCCAAAAAATGCAAACCAACCATCATGCCCCCTTGGATGATGATGAACAGAAGTAAAATGATAACCTAAGCTGCTGCTGGGAAACCATGATTTGGGTTAACATCCATTCAACTGTATTTGTGCAATTGTTCGTAAATATAGACCAGGAGTACAAGCCAGGTCCTTTGGCCCTGGTGATAAATTTCACCTAAACAATGGCCACTACGCCTCCCCACACCACACAGCTGAGGACCAAACACCATAGAACAATGCCCAGTGAGAGCACAGGTAGAGCAAAGGCGCATGTGTACCACCACTGCTGTAACAAATCCTTAATGACTATGGATTGGACAGGGATGAAGATGAGGGTACTGGAAATGTAGGACATGATGACTGATATCACCATGATTGCGTTGAGTAGTGTGCCATTTAAGTTGATCAAGGGGTTACCATGTGATGCTGTGAGTAAACACAGGTTAGTGTTGTAAAACAGACAGGATTTGTGGATTTGAGCACTTGGAGTGTACAAAGCCGGCCAATCTGTGCACATTGTGACTACTAGGTTCATAGCTAAATGCAGCATCTCCATCTTGGTGGAGTTTAATATGGGTAGGATAACAATGACACCAGCAAAGACAGTGGGAACAATCTGCAATGACACATTGCACCATGATGGGGGGAGGGTGACTTCATTTATGGCATGCCTTTGTAGAGGATGCTGAATACAATGGATATGCAAACACCTCCAAGAGCCACACAGTCAGACCAAGCTTCCCACTGGTACACATCAAATGGGTCCATCTCAAGATATGACAAGTCAATTGTTGGCTTGAATGTCATGTCAACGGCAGGGGACTCCTTAGAGGATCATGCAATCATTTCTGAATTAACAAGATGTATTAAAGTAGATTCCATAGCAGACTATGGTCATCTGAGATCCTCATGGAACTAATTGGGTGTCTTTGAGAATGAAAAGTCGAGATGCAGTAAAGTGTCTCCAAGTCCTGATTTATTGTGTCCACCAGGAACTGGCTCAATCTTGAGGATGAACAAAGTTGTAGTTATAGTGGCAATGTAAGGATTGAAGCCAAAGATCATAGCAGAACACAGTAGCAATGTGGCCTCACTATGGTGCCTTCACTTCAGCACATATTGCCCAAACCCAGACAAAGGTTGACCTTGCAACTTGAAGCACTGCCATGGTCGTCTTTTATACATAAGGGCAAGAGGAGGTGAAGATCTGGATACTATGCTCCTGTGAGAATATGGCACCCTTATCAGACCCTATAATCTCAAAACCAGTTGTTGCTTGTCAAAAAGTTTGATAAATTGATCACATGTCAATCAAAAATAATTCATGAATAATTCATATTATTTGGAGCCTGCTCATGATTTCAGCAGTTCCTGGTTGATTTCCGCCAAAGAAATTACATCAGAAGACTCCTACTATATTATAAAAATCAAATATCCATTTAATTAACAAGTTGTTTCATTATGTGAGGCTTGGTACAAAGTTCAATGATTGGCGAACTTTGTCAAAATTAATTGGGACTCCTGGCACTTGCTAGCAACCCTCACTATTTTGGGCAGGTGTCGAGAGCATTGTATCCAGATCTCCAATCTTCACCTCCTCTTGCGTAAGAGTACCTTTGCTTCTTAGTGTTATCAATTAACCATTGAACGGAGAAGACAAAGGAGTGTTCTATTTTGTCGACTGGGGCGTGAAATGCAACCCTGGCATATAAGTAAGCAGACATGAATCCTGATCGCCGGGTGATGTGTATCAAAGTCATTGATCAGAGGATCTGTGTCAGATGGTGGCGGGCCACCATGCCGGCCGAAACTAAACCAAGAAATTTGAAGGCTATCATGATTCAAAACTTGCTTCTAGTCACAAGTCTGCCAATGACATTGATACAGAATTGTTAGGGTCTGGATTCTGATCAACTCGGTCTCATATTTGCCACCGTCGACGGATTCTACAGAGGTGATCATCTTCTGGCATACCTGTATCATCTGGTGCTGTGCTGCAGAAATAAGACGTAAGGTGCCTTGGATGATAAGATCAATTGACAAACAAGACGAACTTGGCAAAAAGTCGGACCGCTCTCGTATAATCGATTGATGATTCATGCCGCATTCTCGCCGCAAAAAAACATCCATCCAGCAACGTCCATTAAACGGAGAACGCTGAGTCTGTCAACCTTGGATGTCAATTTCATTGCACCAGCTCGAAGGGGTCCGCTTTTGCGACCAAAAACCATCTCGTCCGACTCTTAGCAGCCTCAGCGTATAGGTAAGTGACATCCATGTTTCGTTACTAACTATACAATTGTAAGGCTTGCGTTTTCTATGAACAATGATCGTGAGTTCAAAGGTGAAAGATCCTCGGCCTCTCAACTTCAAATGGATATGATAGTTATGGTTCATAATGGAGCCGCAGCGGCTTCAGCCACTAGACAAATTATTCTTGTTCTAGCAATAAACGAGGACGCGAGCGACCAATGCCAGAAGTAATGAGATTGAGATCGGCCCCACGCTAGTTGCGCTGAAAGATGCGGCGCCCGAATTTAAGGAGCTGCTACCTGTAAAATTGGCGAACTTATGTCAGTGCCAAACGATTTCATTTGAGCGGGAATGGAGAAGACATACTGCCTGTGGCCAATGGAGAGCCAGAACCCGGTGTACTTGTGATTGTGAGCACCGTCGCCAAAGGACCTGTAAAGGATGGAGGCGTCGAGGCCGCCGGAGATGACAAGACGGGTGGGTTTGACGAAGATTCGTTGCCTGAAGTACCTCCAGCTGCCGCGGATAGTTGCGCAAAGCCTACGGAGGGAGGGTCCGAGCGTAGCACAGTGTAGACATTTTTCTATTGAATTTACTGATTGATAACCAGATGTATGTAACGCAAAGCAGTCACTACTTACCAGGAAAGTATCACCAACTATCCAATTAGGATTGCCTCCCCCACCACCAGCATTTGATGCTGCGGTAAGATCAAATATACCGCCAACGCAAAGGTCCCCGTTACCAGTTGTCCCGTTTGTCCCCAAATTCATGTCTACGGGATTGATCGACCAAGCATTCCCCCCAAACGAAAGCGAAACTTGCACTTCTGTTTCACAGGCTATGAATCGGCCATATATCAGCAAAATGTATTTCGTGAATTAAGATAATCAGAAATGGCGTACGAAAACTATAGAAACCCTGCATTTCACCATCCATCGGGTGTGAACCTTGTACTGCTGCCCAAATGCTCCGAACATCAGCCGACGGTCCTCCAATTAGCGTAGTCCCAGTATCGATGGCCGCCAAAGCAGAATTGCCCGTAGCGATGGCTATACTATTACCCTGTACCGTCACGTCTAGTTCAAACATAGTAAGTCTCCGTTATCAGGAAGATACAGCATCCGCACGTACTTTTCAACGACAACAGCCAATAACTCGGTATGGCGGAGTCGGGCATATCTAAGAACTGGATATCTCCCGTATACAAAGTGGTGTTGCTGCCACCGAGCGTTAGCACTCCTCCTGGCTCCGCAGCTTGTGCACTGCTGTCATTAAGGTATCTTGTCAACCAGAATGACATCTGTGGTGTATTAAATAGGTTATTGCTGATGAGTGCTTGCCAGAAGGGCTCTGCGCGGGTCTGAGCAATCGATTGGAACGCTAAACCTAAGAAACCTGCTGTTGTGCCGTCGAAAATCCCACCCGTCGTTTCGTCCGCAGTGACTGTATTCTAAGTGTCACTATCAATCACAGGGAAATTAAAAAAGAGTGCATACGGAATGTCTGTTGTTTCACAGTGAATCCTGCCAATGACACTGTGTCTTGGCCAAGAGTACCCCCCACATCGCCACTACCATACTGGAGGGTCACTAGCTCATCACCAGCCGAGCTGAAGGATGATGACTTGGTCGGATCGAACTTAGGCGTGCGCGAAGGACATTGGAAACACAGACTACTAGCCACCCAGAGGTCGGACGAGCCGGTGTCGAGAACGACGTGGAACTCTTGAGGTCTACACGCCGAGGTTATAAGTTCCTCCAAATGTACGATAAAGAATTATGATGACGCACGGTGTACCAATGCTTATAGCTCCAACGTAACTCGAATCGCTATCCTAGCGCACAATGAGCAAGACATCACAATTGGTTTTTGCACGATGACGGCAAACCTGGTTAATGATCGGCACATCTACTGTGTTCCCCCGTTTTCGCTTGGACCGAACGGTTGCAAATTTATACTTTGCACGCAAATCGTCAGCAGCCTTGGCCAGACCATGCAGTCCACGAGCCTTGTTGGGACGACGTGTGATGGTAATATGTCTTGGATCCGATCCCGCGCTGGATCTGGGGTTTGAAACAACAAATGGCAGCACACGAAGTGCAAGGAGAAAAAGGAGGATTGTGGGAATCATAGTCGTCCACGGACGCGAACTGTTGGCCTCGCCGTAGGACGTCGGCTGCGCATGGGATGGCGCATGACTATGGGACAGTGCAAATGCAACTAGCATCCGGTCTAAGCCGAGCGGGTTCCTGGGCGCTCAACTCGATGCACGTGCACGCCACTGTAGAGTCCAATATCCAATTGACAGTCACAACTGTTTACATAACGTTTACTCTTCGTCCACTTGTTTCTTGACATCTCCATATGTCTACATGGGTCACTGAGTGTATTATGGTATTTAGGCGCCCATCGGCGAAATCCATGGTGACCTTGAATTTATAACTCCCCCAATTTTGACCTAATCAAAAATCTGTCTGACAGTTTTGTTCATACTATTAATAGGATCATTTTTACCAGAGGGATAAGAAAAAGGGCCAAAATTGGCCCTCCTATTTTGGCTATACACTTTTGGTGGTGTCTAGAAGAACGGCACCATAGCGCAGA